AGCAGTGGACGCATCGGCAGCAGAGGACGCATCCTGATCAGCAGTGGCAACAAAGGCATAACAAGAACCAGCTCTGGGAACAACACTGGACGCCAGACATGTACGGAAACACGTGCCAGAACCACAGCGTGCGAGAAGCGACCACCGCAGTGGCAGCAACCGCAGGAGCATTGGCAGCAGTGTGCGCGGCATCAGCTACAGGGCCGCAGTAGTGCTTGCAAATAGGGGCGGCAGTGGTGGAAGGAGGTGAATTCAAGCCGGGACCGCCCCAAGACCCCCTCCGCCAGGACGGGACCAGTGTGGATGTACGAGAAGGCAATGGCAGTGACAGGCAGTGGCTGTCTGCAGTGCCTGTGCCCTGCGTGCGAGAAGTGGTGGCGGCAACGCTCGCGAGAAGCAGACGCGACCAATGCAGACGTTACTGCACGCCACCAGCTCCAGATCTGCAGTGGTGCTTTCAAGAAGGGACGGCCGTGTCGGAAGGAGGAAAGCCAAGCCAGGCCCGCCCCACGACCCCTGCCACCAGGCGGAGACCACCAGGGTGGATGTGGTAGGCGCGCGGGAGACGGCAGTGGTAGTCCGTGGCAGACAAGCATTACAAGGCAGGGGCAGATTGCAGCGTGTTCCCCGACGCCATCAGCTACGAGGGAGGTGTCTCGCAGCACGAGCCCGAAGCCACCAGCTAAGACGAGTGCTGTGTCGCAACGCGCGAGCCTGATGCCATTAGCTACGAGGGTGGTACAGCGAAGCGCGAGTCCGATACCATCAGCTACGGCGTTGGACGCCCAGCAGCGGAGAGCGGATTCGCGAAGCGCCAGGGCAGCGCCATCAAATCCGCCGACCCTGTCGGCGTGTGTGAGGGGCTTTTCCGTTCGAGCCGTCATCTCCGTCATTCTTTGTACTCGTCGTCTCTGTCCTTCCCTTTCCCTGGGAGACCTCTTCCCCTGGGCTCCAGCCAAGCCGACCTTGAGCAACCTCGTAATTGAGTCGAAGGGAAGCCCCTTCCCTTTGATCCCTCCCCCGCCGGGAGGGGGGGGGGGTAGCGACCCCCCCCCCGGGTCAGATACGACGCCCCCCCCTGGGACTCCTCTTCCCCTGGGCTCCAGCCAAGCCGACCTTGAGCAACCTCGTAATTGAGTCGAAGGGAAGCCCCTTCCCTTTGATCCCTCCCCCGCCGGGAGGGGGGGGGGGGTAGCGACCCCCCCCCCGGGTCAGATACGACGCCCCCCCTGGGACTCCTCTTCCCCTGGGCTCCAGCCAAGCCGACCTTGAGCAACCTCGTAATTGAGTCGAAGGGAAGCCCCTTCCCTTTGATCCCTCCCCCGCCGGGAGGGGGGGGGGGTAGCGACCCCCCCCCCGGGTCAGATACGACGCCCCCCCCTGGGACTCCTCTTCCCCTGGGCTCCAGCCAAGCCGACCTTGAGCAACCTCGTAATTGAGTCGAAGGGAAGCCCCTTCCCTTTGATCCCTCCCCCGCCGGGAGGGGGGGGGGGGTAGCGACCCCCCCCCCGGGTCAGATACGACGCCCCCCCCTGGGACTCCTCTTCCCCTGGGCTCCAGCCAAGCCGACCTTGAGCAACCTCGTAATTGAGTCGAAGGGAAGCCCCTTCCCTTTCATTCCTCCCCCGCCGGGAGGGGGGGGGGGGTAGCGGGGGGGGTAGCGACCCCCCCCCCGAGTCAGATACGACGCCCCCCCCCCGTACCGACCTTGAGCAACGTCGTCATTGAGTCGAAGGGAAGCCCCTTCCCTTTCCCTTCCCCGACGGGGGGGGGAGAGGAGGTCCCGGGGGGGGTCCCGGGGGAGTCCCGGGGAAGTCCCGGGTCAGATACGACACCTCCCTCCCCCACCTTCTCGTCCTTCTCCCCGTTCCCCCAAACCATCCCACAGCCCGTGCCTCTTGCTGCGCATTGCGAACAGGGTCGGCGGCACCGGCCGTCAGGCCTTCGCAATACGTCGGTGGTGTCGTGAAGTACGAGCCCGACGCAATCGGCTACGAGCGTGGTGCTGCTAAGCACGAGCCCGACGGCATCAGCCAAGATGGTAGAGGCACAAAACACGAACCCGATACCATCGTCGAGATGGTAGAGACCCGGAAACGCGAGGCAGGAGCCAGATGACATCAGCTACGCCGTCGGACGGCCAACAACATACTGTTACGAATTGGACGCGGACGCCCTAATTACAGCAGGCGGTCGTAAATGGTGACGCCGCTGGCGTGGCCTACTGGCTGCGTGACCTACTGGTCTGGCGTGACCTAATGGCTCAAGAAGACCTTGACCGATTTCTGGCGAGTGTCTGCAGACACGCAGCCAAACGAGGCAATGGTGACATCCCACAAGCTCTTTTGGGCGTAGGTGGTTTGGAGCGTTTCCTCTTACAACCCCAGATCTTCTCCGTCGGGGACAGGTTTGATCACCGCTCCCTCTTAATGAACAACCCCTCCCCCAGGCGACCCGCCGCCAACCAGGACCAACGAACCCCCCCTGCCTCAACACCCCTGTCGAACAAACATATTTGGGGCAAAATCATGGGTCATGCTCGTGAGCCCCGCAAACATGTTGTTATTTTTGGACCGGGATGGCGTGGATACCCTCGTATTGCCTGCTTTGCGCACGGCCACCATCCCTGACCAACAAGAAAACATACAACATGCACGTCGCGGCTAAATCTGAATCACGGGCGGCCTGCGATCACTGTCCAGTAGAGTTTGAGAAGGGCAGCGGAGGTGCTGGCGTATTGCCTGCTGTATGCAGGCCCACCAGACACCATGATGGCGTTCCCGCCGCGATTGTGCACTGGATTTGGAGAAGGATGGTGGGGGCCGACACGTTTCCCGATGTGTGCTGTTACATGCGCGGGCGGACCTGGCACACTCTGCGCGTGCCCCGGACGAGGCGCACCTGGCGCGGCTGGACCATGCGGCACACATGGCGCACGTGGAGCACGAAGCGCATCTGGCACGCGAGGCGTGCACGGCACGCTTGGGCCCCCGGGGGTGCCTGGCGCACCTGGCGCGCCTTGCGCGCGTAGCGCACCTCGCCCCATCGCGCACACGGGGTCTGTCTTGGTTCCCAGTAGCTGCCCGTCCATAGACGACCGCCGAACATGCTGAGGCCGGGGTGCTACTTATGTGTTGAGAGGGCGGGCGGCAGCGAGACAGCTTGCGGGCGGGGAGGGCGTCTCGACCCCCCACCGACCCCCTCCCCCAGAACAGGACGGGGTGCCCCGCGACCGATTGGAGCGTCCAAGAAGGCCTCGGCGAGAAGGCACAAATCATAGATTTGCTACAGGTTTTGGCACAATGTTGGCCTGGGGGGGGGGGGGGAGGGGCGAGGCTCACGGAGGACCCCCCGTTGTGGATCGAGCTCCTCCAAGATGGCCCCAAGATGGCCCCCATGGCTCCCAAAAGTGCCCGAAAAGGCGCCCAGGAGGCCCCAAGAGACCAACAAGGGGTCCCGAAGATGCTCCCAAGAGACCCCCACGAGGCCTCAAGGGGCTCCCCCGATGCATCCTCGACGCTCCAAGAGGCCCCCAGGGGTCTCCCAGAGGCCCCCTAAGACGCTCCAAGATGATTCCAAGACGCTCTAAGAGACATCCGAAGAGACTCCGAGAGGCATCTACGAGCATCTGGCCCCTTCCTCCTCCTCCTCCTCCTCCTCCTCCTCCTCCTCCTCCTCCGAATTCCTCCTCCGTTCCCCTTCTTGGGCTGCGACGGCTTCCACATCCCTTTGTTCCACTGCACGCTCGTCCACAGCCCTGATCAGGGCAACTCGCCGGGCATTGTTTCTCGATGAGCTCGCAAGGTTACGCGAAGAGTCTAGAGTAGAGCACTGCTCACCACCGAGATGAAAAAGGCCCAACGTGCGATGGAGGCGGAGGAGGAGCAGGAGATGTCTGGCAACGGCGAGGAGGGCGTGGAGGACGCGGACGGGGCATGCGGGGCAGGAGGGAAGCCGTCAGTGGCTGCCAGCGAAGGAGAGGCTGGAGACCAGACGCCATCAGCTACCACCGCGTACGAGACAAGCCAGCAGCGGCAGCCGGCGGCAGTAGGAGACTTGGATTCGCGACAGCATCAACTCTGTGCGTGAGTCATCGGGAGCAGGAAGGACCGGCAATGGCAGCGGACAGTGGCGCCGCACACCAGGGCGGAGTCGGCAAGGACTCTGGCCGAGACAACAGCGTGTACGGCGAGAACCTGGCCTACTTCCCGAACCTCTCCTACGACGTTGGCTGGCGTGTCCTAAAGGACCACATGAAGCAGGCGGGCACGGTGGACTACTGCAGACTGTTCACAGATGGCGACATCGTCTAGGGCAGGTCGATGGGGCACGGGTACGTGCGCTTCTCCACCGATGCTGAGGTCCATCAAGCCATTGCCACCTTTGCCTGGACAGAGCTCGTGGACTGTAGGATACTCCTCAGGCGGTACCTGAAGCCGTGAACGATCATGTGTTCCACTGTGCTGGCATCACTTGGGGGCCAACAGTGACAAGCGCGTGAGCAGATCTGGCAGTGGCAACAAGCCGGGCACCTCATGCCATGGAACACATGCACGGACAAGCGCGTGCGAGAAGGGCCGCCAGTGGACCTGGAGCGGAAAGCTGCACCGCGGGCGGCGGGCGGCCATCGGCCGCGCTCTCAGGTCGCGGCGCCAAGGGATGGCTGCCGTAGCCGTGCGAGAGAGAGGACGACGACGAGGAGGTCGATGGGGCGACGGCGGACGAGCAGGACGACCAAGGGACGGGGAGGGGGAAGGAGGGGGAGGGGAGGGGGAGGGGGGGACTGGGCGGAGCAAGGGACGGGGAGGAAGGATGGGGGCGCAGGAAGGAGGGGGGAAGGAAGGGGGGGGGGGGGGGAGAGGAGGAGGGGGGGAGGGAGGGGGGACGGGGGGGGGGGAGGGGAGGGGAGGGGAGGGGGCGGCAGGGAGAAGGGCGGCAGCAGCAGGAAGAAGGGCCGGGCGAGGGCCGGCCGGGCTTGCAGCGCGCGCGCCGCCCCGTGCCTGCGAGGCGCCTCCGGGCGTCAGCAGTGCTCCGAAGGGGTCGAAGGGCTCGTCGTCGGGGTCGACGGCGGCCGTCGCCTGGTGAGCATCCATAGGAGGCTCCCTAATCCCTTGGGAGGGGGCCTAAGTCTGGCCCTCGCTCGGGCGTCCATTCCCTGTGCTTTTTTTTTCGGTTTCGTGCGCGGTTTCGTTCGCCCAATGATCAAGGATGCTCCTCGATGGTCCTCGCCGAAGCAAGAATGCACACGTCCGAGCGATGCCGAGAAGTTAGGAGGGCCAGAACCCTGAGGGGTAAAGGGGGTCTTTTTCTGCAGACGCGTCGAACGACACCGCCCAGGCTTCGGACCCCTTGTGCACAAGCGAGGGCCCAAGTCAGGCCACGCCTTCATGGTGCTACTCGAGTTAGGGGCTCTGATATTCTCGATGACTTGGGGAGCCGCCGCAGCGCCTCCCTCAGACCGTCGAGACAAAGTTCGGATGGGGGTCCCCATGTTGGAAAGCTCCCTTCCTGCATGGCTGTATCTGTAGTGGGCGATCAAGACGAGCGTGCGCGCGCTGAGACGAGAGCCCCACCCTGCACAACCCGCCTTGCATCCTGGTGAACGTTGCAAGCTTGACACACGAATGCGCACGGCGCTGCGGCAACAGCCACATCTCGAAACGTAACCACCCGTCACCCCTGCAGCTGATGCAAGCTTTCAGCTTCAGTTTGAAGCGATCATTCCAGTTTGAAGGCGAGCCATTCCAGTTTGAAGGCGAGCCTATCCATCACAGTTTGAAGGCGAGCCTATTCCATTCCAGTTTGAGCGCAAAGCGCTACATCGACCATTCCAGTTTGAAGGCAAGTCTGTCCGTGCACAGCTGCCGCAAACCATTAAAAGACGCATGCGCGCGGCGCCGATGGGGACAAACTCTTGTTCTGAAGGCGGCCCGCCCTCCGCCCTGGTACCTGCTGCAAGCGTCGAGGACAACTGCGCGTGGCGCAGGGGCGAGAGCTCCCCACCCCCAAGAAAAGGGGAGGAGGAGAAGAAGGAGGAGGAGGAGGGGGAGGAGGGAGGAGGGAGGAGGGAGGAGGACGAGGAGGGAGGAGGAGGAGGAGGAGGAGGAGGAGGGAGTTCCCCCCCCCCAAAAAAAGGAGGAGGAAGAGGAGAAGGAGGAGGAGGAGGGAGGAGGGAGGAGGGAGGAGGGAGGAGAAAAACGGCCCGCCTTCCATCTTTGTGAATGGGAGCCTCGAGTTGAAGGATCACACCGTGTGAACAAGTCTCCAGCGAAACGCCACAGCGACCCTACCGATACATCGTTGTTTAGCAACTGAAGCACCCCTAGCCATTTTGAGAGCGGGTCTAAGTTCAAGATGCCGCACACATTAGGACTAAATCTGACTTTGCAACAGATGTATCAAACCGAGCAGCCCATATTGATCATGCCTAATGCAAAGACGGGGGCCCAAGTTCAGCTACGCTTTCATTGGGGATTATATTATTCTCGATGGCAGATCATCGAGGAGAAGTGATGGAGACCAAGCACGAGGCGGACAACGACTCAGGGGAGAACAACGGGCGACGGAGGACGAGGAAGACGAGCAAGTGGTGGGGGGGCTCAGGACTCTGGAGTCTGCCCGTGGGGGTAAAAAAACGCCCGCTCGGCACCAGAGTGGGGCCCGTGAGGAAACGCTCGAACCGAGCGACTGTTGCCGCTGAAATGGCTGATGTCACAGGCCTGCCGCGAACTCATGCCAGGCTGTGTTGGCGTTGGCTGCGGGTCCAGCGCGGGGAGACCCGTGCCCGCAGGAGTAGGGAGCACTCAGGCGGGAGAGGGGCTGCCCTGGTCATTCAGCGATGGGGGAGGGGGGAGGAAGGGGAAGGAGAGAGGGGAGGGAGGGGGCGAGGGAGGAGGGAGGGAGGGGACGAGGGAGGGGAGAACGGGAGGGAGGGGAGGGGGAGGATGTAGTGGAGGAGGTAGGAGAGGGGGATGAGGTATGTGTCATGAGGGGAGTGGGGGGGGGAGAGGAGGAGGAGGAGGAGCAGGAGGAGGAGGACGAGGAGGAGGAGGAGGACGAGGAGGGAAAGGGAGGAGGGGGAGGAGGGAGTGGCGAGGGAAGAGGGAGAGGAGGGGGGGGAGAGGAGGACGGAATTGGTGAGAAACGGCAGGGAGCCAGAAGCCGGCAGCAGGACGAGGCGGCGGCCTCCGTCGCGCCCCCTGGGCACCAGGCCGCCTGCGGCCCGCAACTCGCGCACGCGTCGGCAGAGCCGCAGGCGCCGCCGGCGTCCGACCACGCCGAACCGAAGCAGGAACCGCAGGGATCCGCGGCGTCCTCGCGGGGCAGGCGGCGGCGGCAGCAGCGGCGCACCGCTGCCAACGCAACCCTCCTCGGGTTCCTCCTCGAGCTCCTCCTCGGGCTCCCCCCAGCTCCTCAAGCGTCGCCCCTCCTCGGGCACCTTCGCCCCCCATGCACCCCACTTCCTCGTCTCCTCGCCAACTCGGGCGGGTGGTAATTGGGGGGTGATCCAAATGGGGGTCAAGGGAAAGGAGTTTGAAGGGGGCCGGGAGGCCTAACCAGCAGCTTCGCCTCACGCAAAGCCCAACTCATGCTCTATTGTACCATAGTAGCGATAGTCCGACTCGGAAGAGGTCGTCGCGGGAGCGACGGGCCATCTCAAGCGAATCTGTTTTCGGTCTCGATGGCAAGTAATGCGCTTCGCGATGAAGCACAATCATATGTTGGCGGCAAGAGCTTGAGCCCAAGCGGCCACGGACAAACGCTCGCTATCTCTCGCCCTTGTCCCAACTCATGTTAGAGTCGGGGGGAGGGAGACGAAGCGTGAGTCCGCCACCACTATACGGTAAATATGTACAAAAAGGCAGAAAAAGGCAGGTTCGTAAGGAAGGTGAACCCGCAAGCAAGCGCCATTGCGCGCAATTTGCTTTGCGAACACGTCGCTGTGAAAGCGAGTGCTACTCAGGCGGCCTCAGACGATGTTGTCTGGCCGGCCCGTTACGGAATATGACGTTTTAAATCATGCTTGAAGGATTGCGTTCCTCCCATGGCCTGTAGGAGCATATCTCTATCAATGCCCTTTTTGTGTGACCACCCGCAGTCATGTCGCGAGTGTCACACCGCTAAATACTATGCGCTATACCTCGCTCCGTCATCTGTTGTATTCAACTGATGTGTCCCAAAAGTGTACACTCGGTCGGCTTTTTTTTTCAGGTCTTTGTTTGATCCGGACTTGAAGACAGATCCGGCATCATTGTTCAATGTGACCTTTTATGTTTAGGCCACCCATCTCAACATGTACTTCAACTGAGTGGGTGTCAGTGGTCCTGCGTGGAGTTCGTGCAGAGTAACGATCGTGGGATAGCAGTCCTCTAGGTTACGGGCTGCTGCTAGTGTTTCTGCTAAAGAGCTCGAGCGGACTTGCAAGCGGTGAGACTTGCAGTACGCATCGGTCAGATGGACGACAGGCGTACCAGTTGGCGTGTTTCCGCGCCGTAGCAGGTTTGCCCCGCGAATGCCATGGCCTTTCACCTCGTCATCGGCATCTCCACTAAGACCAATAGCTGGAGTCACTGTGCAGGTCAACCTCGCCCGTTGGACTCATCGGTCGATAGGCGATCTTCTTAAGGCAGGCCTGCAGCTCCCTGGTAATCGTCGTTCAGTCGTCGCACCTGTATGCCGGTCGGCTCTTGGACACGTTGCAGGGAGAGTGGTTAATGCGTGGGCCAACGCGCCTCTGAGGCTGACAAACATGTCAGCAACCGTCTTTGGTGCCTGTGAGCCCAGGATATTGCATGGGGCGGAGCTGCTTGATGTATTCATCTTGACCCAGTGTAACATTGCCGCCCCCATCACTGGTGAATATCACACCACAGGTGTTACATGTATGTTTGTTGAGTTTACACTTGCCAAAACAAGTCCTCGACGCGCTTGACGCGCTTGTCAATGGTGTCCTCAGTGCCAGCCATATTGATATCATCAACATGTTTGGCTGTGAGAAGGTTACTGCTGGTCTCGAAGTCCTCGTCGTAGGACGTGGGTCTGAGTCCAGCGCCCCTCGTGGTCTCTCTGAGCTCCAGTGAGAAGGCTCTGGCGCCGGTGCCTGGCTTGAAGCGTTGCAACCAGTGCTTCGACTCGTCGTAGCGCTCGAATCCTGGAAGGGATCGAAGCACCGATGCTGGTCCAGGCGGCAAGGTAAAGCACGCAACGCGTCCCTTTTCATCGGTTGCCTCAGCAAGTTCCTGGAAGGTTAACCCTTCCAGGAAAGCGATGTTGATGTCAAGGGAAGCAATGATCCATTGCTTCTTGCGCGCGCCCGTGCTCGCGGGAAATCTCTGACTTGGCCGCCGCGCTGTTCCTGAGAATGTTTCCACGTCGAATGCCTCGAGGCCCATGGTAACCCCGAGGTGCCGGGCGCAATCCGATGGCGCGTTCCATCTCGCCCTTCTCTCTCTCTCTCTCTCTCTCTCTCTCTCTACGAACTTCCACTTATATTCGTACCTCGAAGTCATGATGTCTAACACTTTGGTTACACATATGTATATATATACATATATATATGTATGTATATATATACATATATAGATATTGCATCTTGAAGCGCTCGTTGTCAAACCATTCCTTGAGTTCAGCATATATGTCCTTTGAAACCTTAACTGGGTTCGCCTGAGCATCGGCCCTCGTGAGGAGGTCGTCCTCCTCGACGACCGCAGCTCCTTATGAGGCGGAAATTGCATGCTCCCGTGGGGGTGGCGCGGTCGAAGTCTAACATCCTATGTCGTTGCTCGGATAGGACTACCTTTGACCTTTCTGCAGTTAAGCTGAGTTCTATATACTGAACGTTTTCGTCCGAAGCCAATCCGTAACGATGTGCTTCGTCCGTGGAACACACTGGGACATGCTGCGACTTCTCGATGTCGGAGTCGCGCGGATGGCCCCGCGCAGGCAGGTGCCCCCGTTGTTCTTCCGCTACCGTGACCAGCACACTGTTGTCAGCGATCAGATTTGCGGGTACAGTGTATAGGTCATCTAATGGAGATGCCTCCAAGAGTTCAATTTCTTCATGTAGCCCTGTGTACCGCGCCTGCATAATGTGTGCCTCATGGTCCGCTTCTGATTCCACATAGCTCGTAGAAAGCGGTCCATCCTCCTGTGGTGGTTCGGCTTCTGGGGCTTCTCTCGCGTTGTTGTCTTGCGTCGGAACGTCAGCCAGTTCCTCAAATTCTGCCATGTCTTGACCGAAGACCCCTTGAGGTTTAGTGGACCTTAGGCACTGGATGACCCTCGAATGTGCTGATCCAAGTATATCATACATTCAGGGCAGCGCCTTCGGCTTCATAGTCGTAGAAGCCTGGGTTCACGTCGTTGTCATAATCTACAAATGCGCAGCTGCCAGCATAAGCCACTGGAGGTAGCTCGTGGATACTCTTAACTAACTTAACAGAGACTACAATCTCGATGCGAAAGAAGTCCCAGATAAAGTATTGCCGAGCTAAATGTACCTTGAGAGTTAGTCGGCTTGCACTTGTCATCGGAAGCGTTCCCTTTCTTCTCGGGACATAGCCAAGCGTCATGGCAGGTCTCCCCGCAGGTAGACCGGCGACAGATGTCAACGCTGACCGCAGCGCAGTGTTGTCAGAAACAATCTCTCGGGCGATCGAAGTTTCGATGTATAGTGAATGTCATGCGTCGCAGTGTTGGACCTGTACATCGCGATTTCCCACTCGAAGAATAACTGGACCCCTGTCGGGGTCGTTCCGTGCAGCCGGGGAGGGCCATTCCAGCCTCCTCAGTCGCCCCTCGTAGTTGTGGGACGATGATCGTCGACCAAGTCTCCTTCGTCGTAGTTGTGCGGATCGGTGGTAATTGTCTTAGTGCGTAGTTCACGAGTGGTCTTGGCTACTGAAGTAACTTGTGTGATAGCTTCAATGCATGACGGGCGAACCACCTGTCCTCGGAAATGATCGGATGTTTCTGTCGGCTTTTCATGCTCCAGAACAGGCAGGTCAGGAAGCATTGCTGGTTGCCGTCCAAATGGAGCGCTGCGTGGAGACACCTCGCTGTAGAAAGTGAACGCATTGGCGGCAAACAAAGCTTCATGCAGCAGTCGCGTGGATACAAAGGGTACGTCTAACTTTTTGAGTTCAGTTTTCACGACGCGAAGTAAATGGCGTGAAATGCCATATCTGGCTTCAGTTGTCGTAGCGCGTTGTCCACGCACGCGTATCCTTAACTCAGTGCTCTTTGCTTTGAGGACTCGCTGGCACTTAGATGCCCGGCAGCCGCGAAATTAACGACTGCGGTGGGGTTGTCGGCAAGGTCGGCCAATGGCGTCTCCCAATCAACATGCGGCATGTCCGAATCGGTTTGAGCCAAATGCATTGACAAATCCCTGCCTCCCCCATCGCCTCGGGGGCGCCCACGGCGGAAATGTTGTGTGCCATGGCAGATGTCACGTTCCATGGTTTTACCGTTAGCATCTTTCGGGCTGCCCCGGCATCCCTTACCCTTTCCTGAGGCATGCCTACGGCCCCTGCCTGCGCCCAGGAATAATTCTTCATGCTGTGGTCCAGTAAGGGATGCCAGGAATGCTAGCATACCGCTGCCATGTGATCGCCGTCGTTTGCCCTTGCCCTTGCCTCGACCCTTTGCCTTTTCCCCTAAGTGCCCGTCGGATAGTACGTCGTGCCTTGCGAATTGGCTTCGTCATAAGCCGTTTCCATCTGCGTTGATGATTTTGATGTGCTAGAAGCAACCAATGAGCCTGCTGTTCTTCCGTGAGATACGTGGGCATGTCGGAATAGTCTCGGGCGGTCGTCTCGTCATCTGATGACGTGTCGGCGTCGGTTCCAGAGTTGAAGTCAGACTCGGCGGTTTGCCCCGCTGAGCCTGCAAGGGTAGTGGCTTGTGTAGGGGCCGCCGTTGCCGACGGCCCCGAATATCTAGCCCGGGAGTCTTGCGACCCCGTAGGCAGACCACCACTTTGGGATTATAGAGTGGTGGTCTCCGTTGGTTGCGGATCGTCGTTCCGGACGTTTATAGCAGGTTGCCCTGCATTAGTTCCAGTATGAAAGGTTTCGGCGCGGTGACCGCGGCTAAAGATATCACCAATATTGCGATGGGGGTCGCTCAGCAATATGGGCATATGACCTCATGCGTTCAAGTAAAGCATTGCATGGTTGTTGGTTCCTCGGGAGTTGGTGGTCGATGGGCTGTAGGAGTTGTTGTGCACGCGACGCCCCCGCCCCGAAGGCTCTGAACAGGATATCTGTTAGGATTTGGAAAATTGGGGATGTTAAAGCCTACCGTTTCAGCCTCGTAGCGGACTATCTCGAAGCGCGCTAGTGTTTGGTCGATCCGTTCTCCCGCATGGACGCGAGAGTCGATGAGAGCCGTTCCCGAATGAAGTTGGCGTTCCTCCTCTGAGTTCTCAAACTTCGTGCTAAGGAGGAACATGATGTAGGTGACGCCACCGGCATGACGACCACCACTGTTAACACCAAAGTTGATGACTCCGGGGGAAACTCTGATGGCCCAAGGGGGGCCGGTTGTTCTTGTGTCGTTTCCGCCAAGCATGTGTCCCACAGCACACCCGATAGCAACCCCTATGAGGCCAAATATAACAATGCTAATTTAATGGCCCCGTAGGTCGCGGTTGGGTATTAGTGGCTGGGGTTTGTGGTGTTTTGTCGTAAGCCTGCGTGGGGGTGGCGGCGGCCCAATATCGCATCGCATGTTGCCATGCATGGCATCTCCAAAAAAGTTTCCATGTGAAGTGGGTGGGTGGACATCAGGAGTGTAGTAGCGCAGGGATGTAGGACTCGAGTAGGAGGCCTCCGCGATAGTAGAGGTAGCACTGCAAGTGTCCTCGCGATTGTGCGTAGTTGTATGCATTCCTCCGCGCAGACCCACTGCACCCCGATGTTCCACCATGTCAGTAGTCTACCAGATAATGCCGTGGATGGTGAGAAGTCGAGCTAGAGCTGACCACCATAGGCCAGCTCCGCTACTAAGTTTGAAGGGGGCTGGGAGGCCCAACCAGCAGCTTCGCTTCAGGCGAAGCCCAGCTCCCGCTCTGTTGCACCGTCGCAGCGATAGTCCCAGTCGGAGGAGGTCGTCGCGGGAGCGACGGGCCATCTCAAGCGAATATGTTTTCGGTCTCGAAGGCAAGTCGTGTGCCTCGCGATGAGGCGCAATCGTATGTTGGCGGCCGGCCGCTTGAGCCAAGCGGCCACGGACACACGCTCGTTATCTGTCGCCCTTGTCCCAGCTCACTTTAAAATACAGGCCTTGAATGGGGCCCCTTGCGGCGATAGCCGTCTCCTGAAGGGGCCCTGGATTTTTTTTTATGTCCCCTTTCTTCACCCACGTGTGGGTCAGCCCCCACCACCACCACCCGCCCGATCAACTCCGTTCGGAAAATAGCCCACCGCCGTCAGCGTGCTGTCTTTTACAATCATGATTGGACAGAACTGTTTTCTTGCATGCGTTTATACTATATGACTGGGGGCCTCATGTTCAGATCGACGCTGTGCTCCCGTCGTTTAGAATGGTGCTCTCGCCCTAGCGCGGGTCACTTTTCTGCACCCGAGTCCTTCGTCATCGTTGTCGCCCCCTCGTTTCCTCTCCTCCCGCTCCAGTCCCTGCTGCTGCTATTCGTTCTCCTGCTCATCCTTTTCCAGGTCGGCTGCCACACAAACCCGCGGATAGAAAAACATCAGCGCAATGGGAAGGGCTGGGAGGGAGGGATGTCAGGTATGGCGCAAGCGCACCCAGCTTATCCTACGGTGGGGGCGTTAGCTAAGGAATGTGCCCAGGAGTGATGTGCGTGGCCAATCCGCGATTGGAGTCCCACCAGCTTCCAGACCTTGGATTCCTTATCTGTCGCCGCGCCGTTTGTACTCGACGCGCCGAAATGGACGAAACCGAAACCACGGCAAAGCCACGGCAAACCCTGCGCCCCGCGCCCCAGGTAGGCGAAGCCGACTCCGCGGCAAAACCACGGCAAACCCGCCGCACCCGAGGCGGCATTTGCCCTGGTGGCCGCGGCGCCCTCCCAAGACGCAAGGCCGCGCGTCGGAACAGACGGCGCGGCGACATCTGAGGGGTCCGTGTCCGCTGCCCTCACCGTATCCCGAGATCCGACGACGCGATTTTTCAATACAGGGTCCCCCGACGTCTTGACCCATTCCCTGGGACCTGCTTTTTGTCCCGGATCGTTTGTGCTGACGGTCCCGGGGCCCTGCGAGGGCCCCTAGAGGCCGAAAGCTGCGAAGCACCTCCGTCTTGATTTTCAAATGGAAAGCTGCGAAGCACCTCCGTCTTGATTTTCAAATGCGCTGGATCTCTGGGTATTCCACGCTCCCTCCCCACGGCCTTCAGAACCTGGAGCCCCCCTCCCTGGGCCGCGGTACGCTGGGGGGGCGATACATCAGAAAAAAAGCCCTCGAGGGCCCCTCACGGGGGGCTCAGAAGGGGGCCTCTAGGGCCAGATAAATTTGTTCGTTGCTGTATAAATGGGTTGACTTTATTGTATAAGTTCGTTTATTTGCACAAGTTTGTTTAATTTGTTGTATAAGTTTGTATGTTGTTTAATGTGCTGTATACGCTTGTTTGTTTGTATAAGTTTGTTTAATGCGTTGTATAAGTTTGTATCTTGTTTAATTTGTTGCCTCAAAAAGGTTTTGTGTTGTGTAAGTTTGTTTAATGTGTGTTTTCCCTCCCTGGCCGCTGGCCGCCTTCCTCGCTCGCCATCCTCCTCCCCGCCTTCCAAACCTTCCGACGACGACGACGACGACGACGCCGGCGCCGACGACGACACCGACCCCGACGCCGACGCCGACGCCGACGCCGACGCCGACGCCGACGCCGACGACGCCGACGCCGACGACGACGAGCTGAAAACGAAGTCGACGACGACGACGAAGTCGACGACGAAGTCGACGACGACGTCGACGACGACGACCCGCCTTCAGAACCTCGAGAGCCCTACCTCCCCCTCCTGGCCGCCAGCCGCCCCCCTCGCTCGCGAGGCGTCGTCGTCGTCGTCGCCGCCGCCGCCGCCGCCGCCGCCGCCGCCGCCGCCACCCGCCGCCCGCCTCGCTCGCGAGGCAGGTCGTCGGGGTTCTGAAGGCGGGTCGTCGTCGTCGTGCCCGTCGTCGTCGTCGTCGACTTCGTCGTCGTCGTCGTCGTCGTCGTCGTCGTCGTCGTCGTCGTCGTCGTCGCCGCCCGCCGCCGCCGGCCGGCCGCCGGCCGCCCCGCCGCCGGCCGCCGGCCGCCGGCCGCCGCCGCCGGCCTCGCTCGCGAGGCAGCAGCGGCCCGCCGCCTCCGCCTCGGCCCCGTGGGCGTCCGCCGCGGCCCCGCCCGCGCCGGCCGCGGCCCCGGGGGCGGCGGCGGCCTCGGCCGCGGCGGGCGCTGCCTTCGGGCAGGGGACGGCACCACAGAGGTCGTCGTCGTCGGAGGAGGAGGAGGAGGAGGAGGAGGAGGAGGCGGAGGAGGAGGTACCGACGACTACCCAGGCCCCCTCGCGTGGCCAAATGAAAATCCAAGCGGGAAAGGTTGCGCTGTCTTCGGCCTCCGGGGGCCCTTACCGGGCAGGCACTGGGGCCGTAAGATTACGACTCGGGACGAACAACCGGTCTCGGGGAAGGGGTCCAGACCTCTGGGAGTCGAGGTTTTCAAAAAAATCACGACGTCGCGGAGGAGGAAAAGGCACCAATACTGCTACCCTTCTCTCCTTTTCCCCTTTCTGGGCCTCCTGGGAAGCTCTCGTCGCCACCGCTGGATTCGCCTCGAGATCCTAGTCAGAACGCACCCCGGGAGAGGTCCGGGGAGCAGCGGTTTCGGTCCCTTTTTGTCACCCTCAAAAAACTGTTTGCGAAATAAACGTTCGCGCATCTACGAGCACTCGACCGCGCATCTGCGAGCACTCGACCGCGCATCTCGTAGATCCGACGAACCTTCCAGTTCTGGGGTGAATCGATTTTGCAGTTGATCCCCAATTGCTCGACTCCTGCTGGTGGTCCCGAGGCGGTGCGCACGGCTCAAGCTAACTAAGCAGTGTGTTCTGTTATCGTTTTGTTTTCGTGTTTCTTTCGTACTGTCTTCGCTCCGCCTCTGCTACGGGACGAAGCCAGAGCGACGACGGCCCTCGAAGTCGCCAAAAAACACTGTTCAGCTCGAGCCCTGGCGGCACTGTGGCAGACCAGGAGGAAGGGACTCTGGGACACACAAATAAATACACAAATAAAAAAAAACATCTTTTCCCATATTTTCTGGGTTTGTGTCTTGCCCCACACTTCCAATATCATCCCATATCTTCTGGGGAATCGACGATTAATTGTGTCTGTGTTTTTCCCTCCTGACAGGAGGAAGAACAAGCGGCACGCACATGTTTGGAGGCCCGCGCGAACTTCTTGGATCCGCGCTGGGCGGGAACACGCCAGGGGCGGCGCCGGAGGCGCCGCCGAGGGGGGTCCGAGCGCGGATCCAAGAAATCGGCGTGGGCCGCTGGACGTGTATGTTTATACCATCGCTGTTTCTTCGAGGTAGGCTCAGGTCGGGCGTGCCCTCCTGCAGGCGGAGCTTGGACGAAAGCTAGGAAGTACACCAACACACACACACGGAAACACAATCCGACATACAGAAAGATCGCCCCCTGATTTTTCTGCTCGACTGTTTTTGACCCTTCCTCCTGTAGAGGGACCCGCCCGACTTGAAGATAGACCGTGCGGCGCCCTCGACATGCTGAGAGACCTCGCCGAGCCGGCCGTCGTCGCACGGCCCTGGAGCCGTCGGGAGGCCCCGAAGCCGCCGTGGGGCGGACTCGAGGTGCGGCCTGGGCCCCCGAGCCGTGCGGCCACACGCAGGCCCCCCCGGACTCGCCACACTGCTCGGCCGAGCTTCCACCACCAACACTGCAGCAGGTAGGACGGGGGAGAAGGGAGGATGGGGAGGTCCTCCTCCTCCTCCACCTCCTCCTCCGCTCCTCCTGCTCCTCCTCTTCCTCCTCCTGAAATTTCTGTTTCTCCTCCTCCTCCTCCTCTGATTGATGTCCTCCTCGTCCTCCTCCTCCTCCTCCTCCTCCTCCTCCTCCTCCTCCTCCTCCTCCTCGGGTCGGGAGGAGGAGAAGGACATCAATCAGAGGAGGACATCAATCAGGAGGAGGAGGAGTCCTGCTCCTCCTCCTCCTCCTCCTCCTCCTCCTCCTCCTCCTCCTCCTCCTCTCCCTCCCCTCTCTCCTATCCATGGCAGTGGTGGTGGAACATCGACCCAGCACCACGCGGTGCGGCCACCTTCACCCTCTGGGAGCCTTCGATCCTGGAGGCTGCTCGAGTGTGGCCGGAGTGCGCCAGCGCACCAGGAAAAACGGCCCAAGAGAGCCCCAAGAGAGCGGCCCAAGAGAGGGGAACACGAACCTACGACCCGAGCGTTTCGCCCCAAGACGTCGCCCAGGAAGTCCCGTGACGCCCCCAGAAGCCCCGCGGTGCCGCCACGAGACTCCCAAGAGGCCCCACGAGGCCCCCAAGAGTACCACAGGACGCCAGGAGTCCTTGGGGGGTCCGCGCGCGCGGGTTCCTACCGTCGGTGCTGGGTCCCATCCCCGCACGCCATCCATGGAGAGCGCGAAGCGCCAGGGGCTCGCGTCAGGAGCGCCACTGAGTGTGGGGGGCCAAGCGCCGACCAAGGGAATCCGCACGGACCTCCCAACGTGCACGGCACCGTCGTTTTCTGCTCCTCGGTAGCACGAGGTCGGAGCATCGTGCGACATCGCCGAGTGGAGAAAATCAGACCCTTGGTCGCGCCGCAGGGCCAATGCATCCCTGGATGGCATTTGAGATTTGGCCGGCCAGGGCCTTCAGAGCCTTGCCCGCCTTGCCCCCGGCCGAGGGCGACGTGTCGGAAGGGACGGCCGCTGGTGAGCTCGCCTTTGCCGCAGCAGCCTCTGTGGGGTTTGCGCGCGAAGGACGGCATAACAAAAACTTTGCCGCCGTCGGGGACGCCTGTCCCCGGGCGGCTGCAAAGCTTCCACCCCTACCGTGCCACGCAGGAGTGGAAACTTTGCAGCCTCCCGGGGGGCAAGCGTCCCCGACGGCGGAACAGTTTATTGCATACCGTTCTTCGCCCGCGAATTGACGAACCAACAACACACGCCCATACCCATAGGGGGTCGGAGAGGGCTATGGGTGCGTGTTGTCGGATAGGGGGTCCCCGCTCGAACGGGAGCGTTCCCCAGGGTCCGACAACCCGCACCCATACCCGTAGCCAGTCCTCCTCCCGACGACCCCCCTATGGGTATGGGTGTGCTGTTCGTTCGTCGCTAATGGCAGCCTCCGCTGTGTGCTTCCCCGCCGGGGCTGCTGGGCCGCCGCTGCCGCCGCCGCCCGCCCCCGCCCCACACCACTCGGCCCGCGGGCCGCAGGTCACGCACTCGGCCTCCGACCGGCTGCAGTGGCTGCTCGGCAGGGCCTCCGCGAGCATGCGGCAGCCGCCGCAGCCGTCCTCGGCACCTGAAGGGGCCCCAGGACACACCAATAAACACACACAAAGAAAACTCATCCCCATATTTTCCCATGTCTTCCGAGCTTTTGTCTTTTCCCCCCCACTTCCCACACTTTCTTATATCTTCCTGGGAGTGGACGATTCATTGTGTCTGTGTGTTTTTTCCCTCCTCGGCACCGACGAGGCAGCACACGCCGCCCGCAGCCGCCCCCTCGCCGTGTGCCGGCGCCGGCGTCGGCCGATGCTTCGAGGCGGCCGGCGCGGGCGCCGGGGGCGGGGCCGCGGTCTTCGCAGCACTGGCAGGCGCTGATGCGGCCGTCGTGGTGCAAGACGAAGCTAGGGCGAGGATAAAATCGGGTACGGATCACTCGAGGATCTCTGTGCTCTGGCCGATCTCGGGGAGGCATCGGGCGCCGCGGCCTTCTCAGAGCGTTCCGGAACGCTCTGGCCCAGACCTCCGACATCAGGATTTTGTCGCAGCGTCGACCCCCAGAGGTCTGGACCCCCTCCCTGGGACCCCTCTTTTTCATCTTGAAACCTTTTTTGACGGTCCTGAGGCCCGGTCAGGGCCCCAGTAGCCCGAAAATAGCGAAACACCTGCCGTCGCGATTTCTTCCCAATCCGAGGGGTCTGGGGAGAGCGTTCCAGAACGCTCTGGAACTAGAGGCCTGCTAGATGGGGTCGGAGTAGATGTGGTCGGAGGATCGCGCCGCATCGGCGATACATCGGCGATGCATCGCCGACGCCTCGGCGATGCATCGGCGACGTCGCTGGTGTATCGGCGACGCCGGCGCGGAGGAACACGGGCTCCAGATCGAGCCGCATCGGCGATGCATCGGCGAGGCGGCGCGATCCTCCGACCCCCCATCTACTCCGACCCCGTCGTTAGGAGGCCTAGCTGGCCATCGCTCAGACGTCCATTCCCTCTGCTTTTTTCGGTTTCGTGCGTGGCATTTTCGCCAAATCATCAAGGATGCTCCTCGATGGTCCTCGCCGAAGGAGAAATGCACACGTCCGAGCGATGCCAAGCTAGAGGAACGGATTGATCCTCGTCCTAGCCCCGTCCGATGGTGGCCGTCGGCGGGAGAGCCCGGGGAGAGGTTGTGGTCGCGGCCGCGGCCTTCGGGGCCGCCGCGGTCGGCGTGGTGGCCGGCCTGGCCTCGAAGTGCAGGGCGCCGGGGGCCGCGCCGCACCAGGCCGCCCGGGGGCCACAGGCCGCACACGCGGTCTCGGACTTGCTGCAGCGGCTGCTCGGCAGGGCCTCCGCCAGCATGCTGCAGGTCGCGCAGTCGTCGTCGGAGCCGACGAGGCAGCAGACGCCCCCTCCGCTGCTGGCGGCGGCATCATCAGTGGTCGATTCCCTGTCGAAGTGGTCGAAGAGGTGTGCGAAGCCGTTCGAAGTCCCGTTCGTCGTCTTGGGCGAAGTGGTCGAGGCCCCCCCCGTCGGGCCCGTTGTGACGGTTGGGGCATCGGGCTGCTGCCCGTCATCCTCGCCGCTGGGACTGCATCCGCGCTCGGCGTGCTCGCAACACCAAGCTCGCTTTTCGGATGACCAGGCCTCCTGCCAGTGCGAGAGGCCGATCTTGCAGTCGAAGGGCGCCTGCACGGAGCTGCCCCCTGCGGCGACCGGCGCCGTGGTGGTCGCCGCCGTCGCGGACGGGCGCCGGGCCGTGGTGACGGCGACGGGCGCCTTCGTGCTCGCTGTCGTGGAGTCGGGAACGAACTCTGTGGTGGATGCCTCAGCAGCGCCTTCCGATCCGGACGGGCCCACGCGGGCTGCCCCTGACCTGGCCGGCCCGAGCCGTCTCCCAGCGAGCGGCGCCGGTCGGGCCCCCTGAGTCAGATCCACTGTGAGGTTCGTTCGATAGATCGTCGGTGTCGATGGTCTCATCTCGGGTGCTGGCAGAAGTGCCCCTGGTCCAAGGTGCCCCCAGGATCTCCAGGGAGGCCCCCACGGCCTCCAGAGCATCCCTCACTAGGCCCAGGGGGCCCCAAGGGCTCCAAGCTGGAGCGAGCACATTGGGCCAGGGGCACCTGTAGCAACCTCCGGAATAGGTCGTCGGTGTCGATGGCCTCTTCGGGCTCCGAACGACTCATCGAACCCCAGAGTGTGGGCCCAAGCCAAATGATTGTTTGGTTACGGAAGCCCGCCTGGAGGTGGCGAAAAAAACATCCAGGACATCCCCGTCATCCTGAGCACCTTGGGGCCCTCTGAGGCGAGGGCGGTGGACGGAGGAGGTCCGCCACCCGCGGAGTACAGCGGCTCCACGTGGCCCGACATGATCATCGTTGATATCACCTTTGGAGAATCCAAAAGGTAAAGATGCGGCTACTCCCCGGACCTCTCCTGGGGTGCGTTCTGACCAGGGATTTGAAGCGAATCCAGCGGTGACGACGAGGGCCTCCCAGGAGGCCCAGAAAAGCGAAAACGAGGGAAGGGTAGCGGTGTGGGTACCCTTTCCTGCTCCGAACCTCCTGCCCCAGCTCGAAGTACGACTCGCTGCACAGGCCGCCCTTCGGCGCCTTGCCCGAGAAGTCGCAGATGCCCGCGAGGGTCTCCTGCCACTGCGCGCTCTGCCTGGCCGTCAGGTTCTTGTGGGGGGCGACGAAGACCTGGCCCGCCGGTCGGAACTGGGAGGGCGCTGGAAGCAGAGACATGAAGTATCGGAGGAGGAAGAGGAGGAGGAGGAGGAGGACGAGGAGCAGGAGAAGGAGGAGGAGGAGAAGGAGGAGGAAAAGGAGGAGGAAAAGGAGGAGGAGACGGAGGCAGGCGCCAAAAAGCAGGAGCCGAAGTGACGTGGGGAGGCAGAGACCCAGAGATCCTGATGGGCCTGTTTGCCACCACCACCACCAAAAGTTGGAGGGGGAGGGGGTCCTTCTCCTCCTCCTCCGCCTCCTCCTCCTCCTCCTCCACCTCCACCTCCTTCCCCCTCCAACTTATGGTGGTGGTGGTGGTGGTGGTGGTGGTGGAAAACAAGTCCATCAGATCCAACGTCTTGAACATATGGAGAGACGGAGGTCTCTCGCAGTTGCCTCTGAGGGCCCACGCAGGGCCCCAGGACCGTGCAAAAACCTACTCGAGATGAAAGACCGGTCCCGGAGAATCTGTCGAAGTTTCCAGGGACCCCATGCTGAAAAAAGATCGCGGCATCGGATCTCTGGAAGCATGCAAGGGGTAGAAGTGGGTAGGCACATGAAGCAGGAAGGCGCTGGAAAAGCGATGGGGTTTCCGCCCGCCCCCCGGAAAAGAGGAGGGAAGAGGGAGCACCGCTCGACCATTGGAGCAGGAGGCAAGAGAGCTGAGAATCGACTCGAGAAGTCGGATCGGCGATCGACATGAATCGGATCGGCGAAAATCGGCGGCCGAGTCGGAAAAAGTCGGATCGGCGGAAATCGGCAGGCGAATATGCCTCCAATAAGAACGAACACCCCAGAAGACCGTGAACGTCGGGTAGGACATGAAGCCGGCCCACCAATCCTGCCCGGCGTTGGGGACGTTCTTGCAGGTGAGCCTCTCCAGGGAAGCGGCTGGGGGAGGGGGGCCCAGGAGGGGGAGCAGTGGAGGAGGGGGGAACGCGGAGGAGGTGGAGGAGGCGGGAGAGCAGATGAGCCCGGGGGCGTTCATGGAGAAGGCCGAGGCCAATTCGAAGGTCGCCACCTGACCCTGCTGCATGCAGGCGCCCGCAGCACCTCCGTCGCAAGTCGCGTAAAGCATGTACTGGTTAGCGAATCGATTGAGGTACACCTGGGCGTTGAACTCAAGCGAGGGATCCAGCTTACCGTGCCTATCGTACATCTGCACCTTGGTGGACTCCTCCTCGTACAAAATGTAATCCATGGCGATCCTCCAGGGGGTGCGGCTGGCGTCAGGGCCATAGGAGCCGAAGGTCGTCCCAGACGCGGTGCATGTGCCCTTCGCGCCGACGTAGGGCGTCGTGGCCCAAGGAATCCCCTCGCAATTGAGGCTCTTGCCCGTGCATTCCGACTTGACGCCAACCCAATTGGAGACGGCGCCTGAGGAACATGAGGAGTGGTAGAGGATGTTGTACCCTGCCGTGATCGCTCCGTCGAATGAGGCCACCAAGTCTTTCATAGTAGTGGGCGTGCCGTCAAGGTAGGATGGCAGATAGCTGTCGAAACTAGAGTCCCAATACTTCTGGACGAAGTCGCGGAACACACGGTAATGGCCTGGAGTTATGTTGTTCTTAGTTGCGGACCGCATCCCAGAAATAATCTCGAGCACCCCGAGAAATATCGAAACAATGTCTGCCCGACACGCTGGCAAAGTGCCGAACGAGTAACGCCTCCCAGGGCCCGACGCGTGAAAACCCTCCAGTTTCTATACTTCCCTGGTGCTCGAAAGTGTGCGTGGTGATACGGGCTAAACGCAGGATTGAACACCATGCGCCTGGAGCGAAGTACGAAGGATTGTAGCACCAAGGCTGCTGGGACGCGCCATACTTCCCAGACTCCGGTGTCAGGCCGCCCCAGTCAGAACCGCCCTCGTAGAGTCCTCCCGGATGGGGTCCAAGCAGACGAGGTCGGAGGATCGCGCTGCATCGGCGCTGCATCGGCGACGTCGGCGAGGCATCGGCGCCGTCGGCGTGCAGAGAGCTGGGCCCCACGCCGAGCCGCAGCGCAGACGCCTCGCCGATGCGGCGCGCTCCTCTCGAGCCCGTCCATGCCGGCCCCATCTCTGGGAGGCTCCGACCTTGGGGACGTACATGCGCGACCCGTCGGGCAGGCTGCGGTAGATGTCGGGGAAGCCGAGGTCGGTGGACGCAAAGGTGATGGCGGCACGCACGGCCATGTCCACGAAGTCGGCGGGCGCGCCGAGCGCCTCTCGCGTGGGCGGGCGGCGCACATCCGTGAAGGGGCCCCGGGACACACATAGATACACACAGAGAAACAGATCCTCCATTTTTCCCCATGCCTTCTTGGCTTTTTCGTCCTCCCCCCCGCTGCCCATATTTTTTTCCATCTCTCCTTGGGGATCGACGACTCCTTGTGTCTGTGTGTCTGTGTGTGTGTTTTTCCCTCCTGCGTCCGCAGCCACGGCCTCGCGGCCCGGGCTCCACACGGGCACGGTGCCAATCGACACCAAAGGGCGGCCCTGCGCGCATGCCCCCCGCGGGGAGCGTCTCTCCACGGGGCCGTGCACCACCCGTGAGATCGCGCCCTGCAGCCAAGACCGCGAGGGCGTGGGCGTGGACGTTAGGGCGTGGACGTGGAGGAGGAGGAGGAGGAGGAGGAGGAGGAGGAGGAGGAGGAGACAGAGGAGGAGGAGGAGGAGGAGGAGGAGGAGGAGGAGGAGGTTAGGGGGCAGACAGACCTGCCTCGCTTTTGACCACCCTCGCTTCCAAGAGGTACCAAGGCGATGCCAAACGACGGCCTGTACTGGTCAGGCCGCTGGACGAGGAGGCGCGTGGTACGGCTCGGTTTTGCCTGGAAGCGAAAGCGGGGTAGGTAATTCACGCTCTGAGGCGTGGACGTGCTCGTCGCCCGCGGGCCTCTGCGAGGTAGATCATGCCCAGAAGCGCGTCCTCGTCGCCGTCCGTGGCCGTGCCGTGGCAGAAGGGAGCACACTGGTTCACGGGGAACTTCCAGGCCGCCATCCCCGAGTAGCCGCCGCCCTTGCCCTTGATCGCCTCAGATGGGCAGCGCGCGCAGGGACGGGGAGGGGGTTAAGAAGGCAAGGCGCCGGGTGTTGCCCGAGGTGTCCCAGCACGTGGTGAATCGCGTTTACTGTGTGTCAACAGCGATAATAGGAGATGCATCGCAGCGCATTATGCTCGACATCTGCAAACTCTGCCACATCCCGGCTACTGGCCCAGAGCCGGCCAGACGGACTGCCTGGCCGCGCGAGAGCCCCACCGTGGGAGCCCCGAATGATCAAGGCTGGGGTTGGTCCTTGCGGTACCTCCCGGTTCGTGCCTCGGGGGCCCGAGTCCGAGTTGCCCCGGACTGGAGCTATCCAGGATAACTGGGACGTCCAATCCCTCCCGAACTGTCGGGGCTGGGAGTGGTCAGGGGCAACCCTGGCTCGTGCCTCGGGGGCCTACGTAAGCCCGAGATGCCCCGAACTGGAGCCATGTTCAGACGAAGCCAGGGCGAGGATAACATCGGGGGAAATGAGCCGAGGATCTCTTGAGATGCGGCAGCTCTGGAGGATGTCTCGGCAAGGTGTGGGAACTTGGCACATGACCTTCTCCCGTGCCCCGACCTCGTCTTCTCAGCCTCCATCTCCTCCACTGCTCGGAACGCTCTGCAACGAATTCGTCCTCGTCCTGGCCTTAGGTCGGGCATGTCCTCCTACAGGCGGACCTTGGAAGGAAGAAGAAAACTAGTCAAACAAACATCAAGCAATTGCAAAGAAGAACACGAAGCATCGTCACCAGACTGTCTTAAAACAACTACCTGTGAATACTCCTCCTGTAGAAGGACATGCCCGACTCAATCCTGGCCCCGTCCGATAGATCCCGCATATCTCGGGCGCGCCAACCAGCGAAGGAGCTGCTTCTTGGAAGGAGGCTGCTTCTTAGAAGGCGCCGGCCTCACATCTACAGACAAGGCCCGCGCCTCCTAAGAAGCAGGGGTGCTCCTTCCCCCCTCCCCCTTCCTCCCTCTGCGCGTGGCCGACTACTTTGAAGGGGCCCTGGGACACACAAATACATACACACACACACACACAAATAACAGGATTCCCCATGTTTTCCCATATTTTCTGGGTGTTTGTCTTCTCCCCCACATCTCATATTTTCCCATCTTCTCCTGGGAGTCGACGATTCATTGTGTCTGTGTGTTTTTTTCCCCTCCTGATAATTGTAAGGAGCGGCTCCGAAAGCAGAACCCCCCAGAGTCTCAAGTGGCCCTCGGTGCACCGTCTTGGCTGCCTGGCCGCCCTGAGCAGGGGGGCGCGCACGCCAGAGCCCGCGCGTGGCCCCGCCAGTCCTATAGGAGCGCGCTCTGCAACGCTTTCGTCCTCGCCCTGGCTCCGTCCGACAGGTCCCGCATGACTCGCGAGCGCCCCGCCGGCGAGGGCCTGGGCCCACGTGGGCCGACCCCGCAATTGGGCGTTGCTTAATGGGGGGGTCACAAATGGGGGGGTCAGAAAAGGTCCCCTTTCGTGCCCCTTTCGGGCCCCTCCGGAGCCCCAGGGGGCTCGTTTAGATACCGTTTGGGTACCTTTTCGGACCACCCTCGCCACCCCCCCATTTATGACCCCTCCATTACGCAACGCCCAACGCAAGAGAGGAGGCCGAGGCGCCGGCCGCACCACCCCCGCCCCGCGAGGGCCCCAGCTCCACAGCGCTCGGTCGGGCATGCCCTCCTCTTCAGGAGGATGCCGGGAGAAGGATTACCCCATCGGTCGGAAGAAGTAAGTAGAAACAGGAAGTAGGAATGCGTTGAAAATGGATTGGGTGTCCGCCCGCCCCCTGAGGAGGACGGACAAGTGAAGCCACTCGGTCATTGAAGTAGGAAGGCGTTTCAAGTAGACTGGAATATGGGAATCCAAAAATACCTACTTTCAACGACCGATGGCCAGACTGTTTTTTGCAACTGTTTTGGAATTTTCCTCCTGTAGAGGGCCACGCCCGACTTGATCATAGCGGCCGTGGTCGGCAGCGCCCCCCCAAGGAGGGCCGCGGAGTACGGCGAACCAGCCAGTCAGGCTCCGTTGGGGGGGAAGGAGGCATCCCTGATCTTCCGGAGTGCTTAAAACAAAAAAATAGACAGATCTGCACGCCTAAAACCTCGACGGGACTTTAGACGTCGATGTCCTGGTATTTGTTGTTGCCCTCCTGGAGGGCCAAAGAACAGGCACCATCAAGGTCGGCCTGCTCTTGGTTTCTGGAGGCTGGGACCAACGGGTCAGAGGGGGAAGAGGTCAAATCAGCTCAAAATCTAGCTGGACTAGGACGGAGCCAAGGCGAGGGTAACATCGGACGAGGATAGATCGGGAATCTCTGAGACCCGGCGGCTCTGGAGGATATCTCGGGCACGGCGGCCTTCTCAGACCTTCCCACAACACTCTGAGAGCGCTCCGGAACGCTCTGGAACGGATGGATTCATCCTTGTCCTGGCCCCGCCTGATGATCTGGCGCAGATGTTCACCCCAGATCCGTTTTTGATTGTCTCCTGCCAAGCCCAGAGCCTCAAAACCTGCCCCCCGCCGTGCTGGCCAGAGCCGTGGGCCACCTCAGAGCTCCAGCCGGCTCCGACTTGGCCCTCCCTGCGGCGAACGTCTTCTTATTCGGCTTTTCGACATTGGGCGGAACGGGGGGAGAGTAGGGCGGGGGGGTCCAGCCTCCGGACCCCTGCTCAACGAGACTGTCTGCAGATGTGCGTCCTGTGCGGCAGCCTCCACCTGCTTGAGACAGGCGCCAAAAACTCGGGAGCGGCCAAGAGGGGGGTGTCCAAGAGGGGGGGGTGCAAATCATGACCGGCGGCATGTGCGCGGCCCAGCGGGGGGGCCAGGGACGTAATGAAATGAGAAGAGGCGCCATGACATCTGGGGAAATATCATGGCCCGCGCCATGATATCCACCCCCCCCTAGTCATCACCCCCCTCTTTTCCGCTCCCGAAAAACGGCCAGGATCTATTCCATGGGGGGGGGGGGGCGGAGGGGGTGCGACGGCCTGCGCCGCTCGGCCACACAAGGAACACGCAAACTACCCCCGTCCCTGTGCGCGAGGTGTCGTGTCTGCCGCTGGGCGCGAGAAGGGCTCCTGTGACCGGTCCATGGGAAACCCCCCTGGGTTGCAGGGCGGCTTCGGGGTCCCGGGTGCCGACTCTGGCTGAATCCAGGGCCGAGCTGATCCCAGGCCCGATGCGGCCCACGATCTGGTCGGCCCGATCCGTCCTAAAGCGAACACCGCCCTGCCGGTGCGGCTCCCGATCCACAGGCGTGAGTTGCAATGGAGGGAAAAAGTTTTGAATCCCGAGGAAAGCGGGTCCTGGATACGCCAGGGTATCCTCCAGCATAGTTTTGGTCGCCCTGAGGTCGTGTGATGACGGCCCTGGGGCCCAGGGGTGGCCCAGGGAAGCTGAAAAACCCGAAAACGTCTGACATCAGGACCTCACGAGCCCTTTTTGCGCATTGCTCAAATAGGGGAACAAAAGGTGGCATAAACATGCAAACTCGGAGGTCCGCGCGGATTTCTCGGATCGGCGCTAGACCCCCCTCCCTGGCGCGCGGAGCGCGCCAAGGGCGGCGCCGGAGGCGCCGCCGGGGGGCCCCAGCGCCGATCCGAGAAATCCACGCGGACCTCCGAGTTGTTATGCTTAGGCCACTTTTTGCCCCCCTATCAAAACTCAAGTGGGACGGCAAATGGGCCAGGTCGGTGAATTGATCGCAGATCCTCCTCCTCCTCCTCCTCCTCCTCCTCCTCCCCCTCCCCCTTCCGCGCGCGCGCGTCGCTCCTGCCCCGTCCCTCCGCTGGCGGCGGAAGGGAGGGGGGGGGGGGAGGGGGGAAGGGTGGGGAGGAGGAGGAGGAGGAGGAGGAGGAGGAGAGGAGGGAGAGGAGGAGGAGGAGAGGGAAGGAGGAGGAGAGGGGACGAGGAGAGGGAGGAGGGAGGGAGGGAGGAGGAGGAGGAGGAGGAGGTTGATCGCAGAAGACGGACGGACTCCGTGGCCCGAGCCGATCGCCGAGACGCCGTACGGCGGCACGCCGACGTCGGTGGCGGATCCCTTCTCGCCGCTGCCGCCCCCGAGCGGGGCCTCCGCCTTGGCCGGGAGGGGTGCGACGGGCAGGAGGGGGAGAAGGAGGGGGAGGGAGGAGAGGAAGGAGGGAGGGAGGAGGAGGAGGAGGAGAGGAGGGGGGAGGAGGAGGAGGGAGGAGGAGAGGAGGAGGAGGAGGAGGAGGAGGAGGAGAGAGGAGGAGGAGGGGGAGGAGAGAGGAGGAGGAGGAGGAGGAGGAGGAGGAGGAGGAGGGAGGAGGAGGGAGGAGGAGGAGGAGGAGGAGGAGGAGGAGGCAAGAAGGACTCCCTCCCTCCCAGGGTCCCCCTCGTTCCGCTCCTGGTTTCCCTCCCTCCGCAGACATTCTCCTCCCAGGGAAGACGCGGAGATGAATGCGGCAGAGACAGGAGGAGCAAAGATGCGGCTGGAGGAGGCGAGGGAGGGGGAGAGAGGGATGCGGAGGAGGAGGAGGAACGCCAGTGCCACAGAAGAAATCCAGACAAAGGAAGCCAAGACTGTGGTCGAGAGTGCCGCGCGGCTGGAATGCGGCGGCCCTGAAGGGCGGCTGCATTTCCGGCATCGCGCCTGGAGGGGTTGAGCGCTGCTGCAAATCGCCACGAACTGTCGCGACACTGGGCAGTGCGGTTTTGCGCTGCGACGGTATCGAGGCGCCAGAGAGCACTACACAACATGCAATAACCACTCTGCGACATGAGATGCGCACTCGTTCCTGGAAAGGTCTTGAGCCCAATGTGATTTCAGCTCGTAAGCTTGTCCCCCTGTGCCATGCTCGAAGCGGAAGCTTTCTTTCAACCAGACGAAATCAAGTCAAACTTTGAGTCGACACTTTGATTTTGTGCGTGCCACCTCGCGAAGTGTGGCGCCCCCCATCACAGATCCTCGATGAATAACTGGGCCCGCAGACCCCCGCCAATAGCAAAACATAGTGCGAGCGTTTTGCGAAGTGAGCCCTCGCGAGGGCTGCGCCGACGCGGGCGAAACAGTCCACAGAAAGCGTGAACAAGCTGATTTTGCGTCTGACCGCTCGGGGATGGCGCGCCCCGCGCGCACAATCTTATACAAATAACGCAGCCCCACGAGGCCCTCAGGAGGCTCCCCAGAGCCCCCCTAAGCGGCTCCGGGAGGCCCCCCGAATGCCCCCCCCCCCCAGGCACGCAAGCAAGCGCCAGCGATGCCACAGCCTGGGCCGGCGGAAGGAGCGAAGCGATCGAATATCGGGAGCGGCGAAGAGGGGGGTGTGTCCAACAGGGGTGTGTGCAAATCACGACCGGCGGCATGTGCGCGGCCCAGCGGGGGGGCCAGGGACGTGATGAAACAAGAAGCGGCGCCACAAAATCTGGGGAATTATCATGGCCCCCGCCGTGATATCCCCTCCCCCGAGTCATCACCCCCCTCGCCCCCGAGAATAGCAGGGCGCGGAGGTCTCAGGAGGCCCCGGGCGGCCCGGGGAGGCCCCGAGGGTGCGGACCCTGCGTGCTCTGCGAGGGCCGCGGCTGCCAGGAGCGCAAAAGCACGTCGTGGGCCGCCGGGGAGCACGGCCCTGGGCCGGCGGAGTGAGCGAAGCGATCGAATACCAGGGCGCGGAGGTCTCAGAAGGCCCCCCGGGCAGCCCCCCGGGAAAGGCCCCGAGGGCGCAGGCCCCCTTGCGTGCTCTGCGAGGGCCGCGGCCCCAGGAGAGCGCAAAAGCACACCTCGTAAGCTGCCAGGGAGCACGGCCCTGGGCCCCAGGAGCGCGGGCGGAGCGAATTAAGACTTGCAAAAAGGATCGTGGCCCTGGGAGCGCGGATGCGGCGTAGTTCTAGGTCGGGCGTGTCCCCCTGCAGGGGGACTTTCGACGAAACGTAAAAAGTACTCGAAAATAGCAGAAAATTGCCAAAAGATGCTCAAAACATAGTCCCCAGACTATTTCTGGACCATTTGGGGGTATTTCTCCGGTGGAGGGACGGGCGACTCAAGCGTAGCTTGCAAGCTCTGGGGAGCGCGACTCCCGGCGCCCCAACAAAAATTCGGCGAGGGGTCGTGGCCCGCGGGGCGCGGACTCGGCGTGCACGCATGGCTCGACGGGAACCGTTCGGGCACACGCGAGAGGGACCCCCGGCAAGGGCGGCCTTCGGTGCGGGGCCTTCCCCCTTGGGGGTGGTGCCCCAGAACACATAAATAAATACACACAAGTAAAAATATTCCCCATATTTTCTTATATTTCCTCGGTTTTCGTCTTCCCCCCCACTTCCCATATTTTCGCATATTTTCCGGGGAGTCGGCGATTAATTGTGCCTGTGTTTTTTTCCCTCCTGACTTGGGGGTGGTGGCACGCACGAGAGAGGTCACTCCTGTCGGGAGCGGCCAAGAGGGGGGTGTCCAAGAGGGGGGGGTGCAAATCATGACCGGCGGCATGTGCGCGGCCCAGCGGGGGGGCCAGGGACGTAATGAAACAAGAAGCGGCGCCATGAAATCTGGGGAAATATCATGGCCCACACCATGATATTCCCCGCCCCCTAGTCATCACCCCCGTCTTTTCCGCCCCCGACTCTTGCGCGAGGCCGAATCCGGGCGCGCCAGCCGGTGCTGGGGGGACCCCTTTGGGCCCGCACAGAGGGTCACTCCGGCGACAGGCCACTCCTTGTGTGAAATCGACCCGCGGCGCTGGGAGCGCTGACCCGAACAACGACTTCAGCACCGTGAATCCGCGCGACTGCCGCGTCCTTTCCAATCCTGAGCCGTGCCAGAAGACCATTTCTAGGACTTCAGCCATGCGAGTCCTTGAAACCGACGCAAACGTTTAAGACGAAAGATCGCGACGCTGAGGCGAGAGCCACATTTGAAAGGGAGCCGCCCTACATCCTGGAAGCGGCCGCCAGTTTTGAAACAGAGCGTGCGAGGCGCTGAGGCGAGGTCTGCATTTCGAAAACCGACCGCCCTCCCATCCTTGAAACTGTTTCCTCCACGCCCTCCATCAGTGAACAAATTACAAAATCCTCATTTCAAACTCGTATAAATGGTGAAATTGCCTCAAGCGAGACGCCCCGCCCGCCCTGCCGACGCGCCTGTGGATGCGACGGGGAGGACTTATTCGTAAGGGAAAGGAATGGGAGAGGGGCATGGGCGAAGAGGGGGGAGCACGAAGAGAGGACGAGCGGGGACGTGAAGGAGGTGGAGACGGTGCAAGATAGTAAGAGAGAATGGGGCAGAGGGGAATCGGTAGCATGAGGGGGGAGGAGGGAGAGGCATCAGAGGGAGGGGGCAGCGGGAGAGGAGGAGGATGGAGAAGGGAGCAGGGCAGGGATAGGGGGAACAGGGGAGCAGGAGCGAGGGACACACATCGATATAGAAATATAGATATACAGACATGTGTTTATATGTACACACATACACACATATATACATATATGCAGACATATCTATATATATATGCATACACACAAGAGAGAGAGAGAGAGGGAGAATAAGAAAACGACCCTGTCGGCGTGTGTGAGAGGCGTTTACTTCCGAGACGTCGTCGTCGTCGTCGTCGTCGCTCCCCTCCCTTGACGCTTTTCACTTTTCGCCGTCGTCGTTGTCGTCCTCGTCGTCCTCGTCCTCGTCGTCCTCGTCGCCGTCACCGCTCCCCCCCTTTCCCTGTCCGTGAGCCATCCTCTTCAAGCGTTCCAGCCAGAGGGAAATGGAGCAGCGTCGCAATCGACTCGAAGGGAAGACCCCTCCCTTGATCCCCTCCCCCCGCTGAGGGGGCGGTCTGAGGGCTTGGCGGGGTGGGTCCTGGTGGTGGGCAGCGGGGGGGGGTCCTGGGGAGGTAGCGGGGAGGTCCCCGGGCGGGGGGGGGGCAAAGCGGGGTGATCCTGGAGGTTGTGCACCCGCCCCCTGGGAGAAACTCTACCCTTCGGCTCCTCGCCGCCTACCAGACGGGCTCCCCCTTTCAGGGTTGGCGGCGCCGGCCGTAAGGCCTTCTCAATGACGAACTAAACACAGATAAGGAGAGAACTAGAAAGAGAGAGAGAGAGAGCGAGAGAGAGAGAGAGAGAAAACAAACCTAAACATAACAAACTAGAGAGAGAGAGAGGGAGACAGAACCAGAATAAGAGCGAAGAAAGAGAGGGCAAAGAGCGAGAGGGTTGGATCGGAGATCGGTATCCGCCTTGCCCATAGAAGTCTCTGGGGGGCCGTACACCATGCCGAGCCAGCCCTTGGTGAGGGCGAGGCCCGTGCTCAGCGCTTCCTTGCTGCCCCCCAGAGCGTGTATGCCCTCGACCATGATGGCGTAGCCCATCCCCTCCGTCACGACGCCCCCAGCAGCGCCCCCGCTGGAGATGACGATCATGGAGTCCGTCCCCTTCAGCGCCGCGGGCACGTCCGAGTCCTTCAGCTCAGGGACCTTAGAGACGAAGATGTGTGCGGACGCTGACGTGTGCCTGTCCACCAGCGCGCATCGATATGCGGAGCGCGGTGCACCGAATCGTGGATCTAACTGACCCGGGTCGATGCAATCCCGGTCAGTCAGGCTTTGCCGGATCGCCCTCGAGGGCGTCCTTGCGCACCTGTGTCCGCGCCCCTGGCCGAGACCGACGCCTGGACCTTCCTCGATGCTCGCCCCTGCGGGAGCTCAGGGCCACCTTCCGGGGACCCGCCTCTGCGTCCCCGATCGTCTCCTCCGGGTCCCGCGGCCCGCCGAGAGATCCCTGACGCCAAAAGCGACGGGAGGGGGAGGGAGGGGAGGGGAGCCGAACTTTTCGTTGTGACGAGCGAACGCTCGACTCGTCAACAGCGCGGAAACTGCGAGCGGGCAGACTACGACCATACAAAGGAACACCGCCCAGATCGCCCCGAAACCAAACGCGACGTCGCTGCGGCGAGCAACGCTTTGTCAAATCGGCTCGCGGCTGTAAGCCGAGGGCCCGTCTTGATGTGTTCAATGTGTTGGAGGTCTGGTGAGGTTGGCCTCTTCGGATCGGGGTGCCCTGGGCCCCGGGCGGAGCCGTCGTTCTTCTGGTAGGCCGCGCGCCACACCCCCAGCCAACCCGCGGCGGCCTCCCTCGCGCGCTTGCCGCCGAAGACGGGCGCGCCCGCGGCCCCCGCGGCGGCCGCGGCGGCCAGCAGGCGAAGCATCGGGTGCATGGCTGTGGCCACTGGCGGCGCGCACGAGGCGCGAGTGAGGCGGGGATCTGTCTGGATCCCAAGGCCAACGCCTGGGTGATCGAGCTGTGGGGGGGCTCGGCGGGCGGAGGATCTGCATATGACTGGCCACCACGGGGGCCCGCATCCGTCCATAACCACCGCCCACCGAGGCCCCCGAAGCTCAATCCCCCAGGCGGTGGCTATGGATACATCCCCGCCTCGGACAAGGCGGTGGGCTGCGCGAAAGTACTCCCAAGGAGCCACTGGAAACTCGAGCCCATATGGATGCCAATGGCATCGATGAGGTGATGTTGGCAGAGGTAGACACAAACGCGCCGATGACTGCGCACACGAACGCATTTACGCTGGACTACGGGCTGCGGGATTCGTCTGCCGACCCTCACTTCGGCACGCCTGAGGTAAGGACACGTGTCAATGGGGACTACGCCCAGTAGTGGACAACAACTGCGGCGTTGGGCCCACCTCTTCATGCGCGCCCTCTCCTCCTCCTCCCTCCGTCCCTTGCCTTTCCCCGCACCGAGCCCCACGTCGTCATTGCTTCAGCGACTTGGCTGTGCCCTGCTCCGATCTCTCCTTCACACAACCTGCAACCACATCGCGCTGAGCGGTGTGCTGCCGCGTCGTCCAGCATCCCCGCCATGGCTATCAGCTCCTGGTCCACCTGGGCCAGCACAAAGCGAGACAAGCATGCAACTTTTCACAGCTGCAGAGGCGCCAACGGGCAGCAACGGTACGGACCCTGTTGTGGGCCACCGCCGAGGAGCCCAACGAGGAGGTGCGACTACGGCTGCAGACGGGAAATCAGCACTGCTCCTGCCGAGTGCCACCGCGGGCTGGTCTGGATGTCAGTGGGCGGCGTGGCGCCTGTCATATTGCAGATAACATTTGTTTTCGCTGCCTGTCCTTGCTGCGATATGCAATGCTGGTTAGGGGTACATTCGGGACTCCTGGGGTACGGCGGCCGCGGCATGCAGAACTGGCAGGCGGGATGCATGGGACAGTCGGGAGCCCAGGGGCCTGATGGTCACGGATGCAGGGCGGGCAGGCTTTCTTTTCGAGAATCAATTCTCAACCTGTCGGGCGAGAAACAAAAACATGGATACGCGCATCCGCAACCAACCCCGGAGACCTAATGTTTCAGTGCCGTCTGGCCCTAACAGGTCCACCACCCCGAAGCTTGCCATAACCTCCCACAGTTTCATCCCAGGGCCATCCAGAAGCCTGCCAGAGCCTCCGAAGCCTTGCAAGGTCACCAAGGGCTTCTCATAGCCTCTCCGTGCCTTTCAAAGCCTCCCAGAGACCTCGAGGGCCCTCAAAGGTTCCCGAATGCACCCGAGGGGTTCCCAACAAAATTGTAGGGCATAAGCGCTGCGTCCAACTTGTTCAGCTTCGAGTGGTCCCAGCCCAAACCTTCGGCACTCGTCCTACTGTGACCACACACACAGGAGACGCTTCGGACGAGAGATGGCGCGGGCTGATGCAAAAGTGCCTTTGCCTGTTTGGTCCCCCCCTCCCGCGCCTGCCTCGTCCTCCTCAGCTGTGCTCCTTCCCTTCCACCTCTCCAAGGCCCACTCCCTGGGTGGCGGCGCCGCTCTCCCGGAGCGGCGGCCTGGGCTGGGGGGGCGGGCGCGGTGCAGATGCGCACCCGCAGACGGCCCGCACGGGCCCCGCCACAGCCGCGACCTGCCCAGTGGCTGGCCGCACCCGCCTCGTCGACAGCCGAAAAAAGGGTGTGGCCATAACCCTGACCTTCCAGGAGGGCAACAAAAATCAGCACCAGGACCTTGACGTCTCAAGTCCTGTCGAGGCTTTAGGCCGTTCAGATGGGTCTATAGGCCTGGAGGGCTCTCTTTTGGCTCCCTGGAAGATCAGGGAAATGGGGGGGCGAGAAGGGGGGGGGGGGGGGGATCACTGGGCGGGGAGGAAGGGCGTCCTTCGGGCCCCAGAGCAGGTGGGCCCTGACGGGCCTCTCCTCGGCAGCCCTCGCCGCCTCTCCATGCTACAGTCGGGGGCTTGACCTAAGGAACCCAAAAGAAGGAACGAGGCCCCTTTTTTTCCATGAGTTAAACTTCGATTTCCGATCGAAAGGAACACCTGAGGCAAGCTGCGAAACACTTAAGGAACGCGGAGCCCCTCCCCAACGAAACGGGTTCCTTCTTCGGGGCCCCGACTGTATCGCGAACGGCCCCCGTCCTCGCCGCCCAGACCAATCGAGCAGCCTCGACCCCGCCGAGGGGGGGCCGAGCCGCACGCAGCCCGCCGCCTCTGCCCTGGCACAGTCTGCCTGCTGCCCCGGCTGGTCGCGCCGATCTGCCACGGCCCTTAGCATGCCATGCCGTTCTCGCATTTTTGTTTTTTTGTTTTTTTTTGGTTTTTCGATTTTTCTTATTTTCTGAGGGGGGGGGTCAATCGGGGCTCTCAGGGCCTCTTGAGATCTGTGTGTAAGTCGGTCGGCGCTTTGGACGAGCAGTACCACGCTCGGGCGGCGGCAGAGAGGGCAACCCTGCAGTTGGCAGCACCCACACGCCGTTCTCGCATACTGTGGTGAGCGCTTTCTCGTTCGCCGCTTCGGCACTGAGCGACAGGGAGGGGCGCGAGGGGGGTCTGGCGCTGGACCTCTGCTTGGTGCGACTGGCTGCAACAACGCGTCCTCCTAATCCGATGGGGGAGACCGCACCTGCTCGAAGCGGGCGCCAAAAGCAGCCAAGATCCACTCCGCCGGGGGGGGGGGGGAAGAGGGGGATGAGCGGGCCCGCGCCGATCGGCAAAACGATGAATGAGAAAGCGATTACATGGCCCAGTCATGCTTTGGCGTGCCCGGCGGGGCGAGACATCGACGAGCCGAAGGGGGTTCTTCGGGCTCAGCGGCCGCAGCCAGCGGGTCGGTCGGGTCGGGTCGGGCCGCCCTCGTCTCAACAGATCGAGCAGCGCCAACCTGTCTGGAGAGGTAAGAAGCTCAAGCACAACAACTGGATTGATCGATGCTCTCTGGATCATGGACTATCCTTCTCCTCCGCCTCCTCCTCGCGCTCACCTCGCGCCCGCGAGGGGCCACCGACAGGACGGCGGGCTGCGGCGGCGGCGGACAGTGGACGGTCGAGAGGTCCGGGGGCCGGCGACTCGAACAAATCGGAATTATGCGCGCGCCCCAACTTTTGCTGCTGTCTTGTCAGCCGTTGCGCTTGTCGTTTTGAACGGCCAGGGCTACGATTCGAATTTCTCGCGGCAGCGTGACGTCTTGACAACTGTCCTATCTGATTAGATTCGTCCTGGAAGCTGTCTAACCAGGCGTTGCTGCACTCGGTGTTTGTCGAACTAGCGTGACGTCGTAGCCCCTGCTGTGTCAAACATGTCGAGCGCTGCATCAGTTATGTCATGGTATCCCGCTGCCTGTCGTTACGCTCGATATCATTGTGGTGCGCCTGCCGCATGTACAGGTTACGCATGTCGGTCTTGTCAAGCTGTCAAGCTTCTTGCTGTGTTGTGCCGTCGCGCCTGTTACCTGCAGAATGTGTCGTTGTAACGCTCGGTTTCTCTCGGGTCAACATGACGTCATGACGGCTGCCATGACTGCCAAAATGTTTAACCATTTTGCCGCATATTTCTATGTACGTGCCAGCCGTGTCGTTCGTCCTTTCTTTCGGTCTCGAACCAGTGTGGCGTCGTGACGCCTGTCATGCCTGCGTATGCGCGGAATGTGTATATTTTACCAACTCTGCGGCTGACAACATTTCATCGTTTCGACTGTCCAATCTGATGGTCGTATCAAACTGCCTGTCGCTGTTCGAACGCTCGTTGCTGTCCTTGGGGCTTGTCGGCAGACGTGACGTCGTCATGCCTGCCGCGCCTGATACACCGTGGGAGACTTAGGTCAATGTATCTTGCGGCGCTGTCTGTCTTTATGCATGACATTCGTGCATGCTGGTAAACTTTGTGCATTCGCAACAGTTGCGCGAGGCACGAAGTGGAGTGCCCTCAGGTCCTGAAGCGCGCTCACTCCTCAATCCTTCAGCCGGCGCGGATCCCTAACAGTGGCCTATGGCGCTGTGGATGTGAACGCTATGTTGTGTAAGGTCTCTGGCGCGAGCTGGGACGTGCGAGCTATATGGTGTGAGCTGGAGCTGCGTCACATATGTCGTAAACTGTGCGGCCTGACCCGGAGTTGTGTAAGAAGCGGTGTGAGCTGGAGGTGCGCTCCCGTGCGGCGCAGGCTGTGCTGTGCGAAACCTGTGGTCGTAAGCTCTTGTGGTGGAGGCCGCGCGGTGTGAGCTGCAGCTGTTGAGGCCAACTGGCGCCAGATGTGTGGTGCACGCTGTACGCCCCACGCGGGGCCCACGGGCGGGTACGGGCGCGCACGCGGCGAAAGCCTCGGCCGACCCACCCAGCGCACGGGGCGCCCACGAGGCGTCCACGAACGGACACTGGCGCGCACGCGGCGAAAGCCTCGGCCGACCCACCCAGCGCACGGGGCGCCCACGAGGCGTCCACGAACGGGCAGGCCCGAACGTGGCGAGACCTCGGCAGACCCATCTAACTGCTCGGAGGGACTTGAGTAGGAACCCCTAAGCGCAAACACTGTTTAGGGATGTGTGAGAATCCTGTGCGCAACTGAGACACCCAATTCACGGATTCCCCGGGTGTTCCCTCGTGGCCCAAGATAGCGCAAGAGGGCTCCGAGACGGGACAAGAACGCTCCAGGATGGCCCACGGTGGCCTCAAGACGAGACCCCAGAGAGGCTCCCAAGAGGCGAACATAACTGATGCCCCAGAAGTTTTAGACAGATGTTGGCCTCCTGCCTTTTCGGGCTTGCGGCGCTCCAGAACGGTCCAAAAGACCCCCACGTTCCCCACAAGATCGCCCCAAGATCGGCCCAAGAGGCCCTGAGATAAAGCCCCGAGGAGGAGCAGGCGGAGGAGGAGGAGGAGAAGGAGGAGGATGAGGAGGAAGAAGAGGAGGAGGACGAGGAGAAGGAGGAGGGGGAGGAGGAGGAGGGGGAGGAGGAGGAGGAGGAGGAGGCGGAGGAGGAGGAGGGGGAGGAGGAGGAGGAGGAGGAGGCGGAGGAGGAGGAGGCGGAGGAGGAGGAGGAGGAGGAGGCGGAGGAGGAGGAGGAGGAGGAGAACGAGGAGGCCCAAGATCGCTCCGAGACGGCCCCCCGAAAACGGCCCACAGAGGGGAGCGCAGCATGGCAATCCGAACCTTTTGCCCAAAGACTTCTTCCGAAGCCGACAGCAGGCCCCCAGGAGCCCCCAGAGGCCCCCCAAGAGGCCCCAAGAGGCCCCCAAGAGGACCCCGAGAGGCCTCCAAGAGCCATCCAGGAGGCCCCCTAGAAGCATCCCAAAATACCTTCATTGAAGGGGCCCCAGGACACACAAATAAATACACACAAATAAAAAGGATGTTCCAAATTTTCCTGTATTTTCTGGGTTTCTGTCTTCCCCACCATTTCCTATAGTTTCCCCATACTTTCTTGGGAATCGACGATTCATTGTGTCTGTGTGTTTTTTCCCCTAGGACCCCGAGGGGCCTCCAAGAGCCATCCAGAGGGCCCCCTGGAAGCATCCCCAAATACCTTCATGTGCATCCAAGGAGGCTTCGCCCTGGCATCGCTCGGACGTCCATTCCCTGAGTTTTTTTCGGTT